AAAAATACTATAAGTTTACAGTAAAACTAAGGGGAAACTAACATAAAAAAAGTAAAAAAAAAAAAAAAGACTCAAAGGAATTCCAAATCATTACATTCATGTTGAGGAAGGAGGGTGGTTGGTTACTATTTCCAGCCTTCAAATAGTGCCAGCTTATCCCTATCACAAAAGGAAAACACGGATAACTAAAATCCAATTTTATCTGGAAGCAAAACCTAGTTTATACAGCTGTGTTACACAGCTCAAAGTCCCAAAAGGAAACCGAGTTTGTAAAGCCAATCACCTGCCTGTTACTTCTACATCTAAAAGCTGAACTGTTCATTGTTATCTAATGGGCGTCTTCATTATCAGCCTTACTAAAAATAGGCATGATGGGAAAAAAAGCACACTAAAATTCTGTAGTTTTTCTGTTTTGTTTTTTTGTGTTTTTACCAGGCTGTTGTTGAAATGTATTCATAACAGTACAAAAATATGCAACAGAATCTATGTTACAACTATGCATGCCCTACTATTCAAAGCTTTTCCTGTCGGCTTACTATAACTTACCTATCAACCGCGAAATGACAAACCGTTGATGTAGCTGCAAATTTTAGCCTGTTTTAAAATCCCTGTACATGTTTTTTTTCATTACACATCTAATTACTGTTTTATTTTATCCAGTGCAGGGAGGACTGACCGGCTTCCTATAATGAAGAAACCAAACAATAACTACAGAAACGCATGTTGAGGAGGAGGAGGAGAGACAATAACTCTGGGCAAGAATCAGCTGTAAACTCAATAACCTCAAAAACATCACTGAATTGTGGTTTCAGCTTCCAAACATTTACAATTCAGCAGAGGAGTCAAGTAACAAAGTACAAATACTTTACCTAATTCTACTTAAGTAGAAATTTTTCCTATTTACACTTCACTGGAGTAATTATTTTTAGACAACTTTTTACTTCTACTCCTTACATTTTTACACAAATATCTGTACTTTCTACTCCTTACATTTTAAACATAGACTTGTTAGTTTTTTTTTTTACATAAGCTCATTTTCATGAGGCCTGTAAATGCCATCTAAATAATTTGTTTCATCTAGACAATTAATTTCTATGTGGTTGGACTCGGTGCTGCACCAACTTGTTGTTCACCACATACCAACATCAATCGTTTTACAAGAAGATGCAAAGTTAAATTTGACACTGTTAACATTAGTTATAAAATTAAGAAAATAAGGTATAAATTCTTATCCAGAATTGTAGAAAAATGCTTTTTTAATGGGATAGTATATTAAAGAATCTGTCAAATTTTTTTTGCATTACTTTTACTTTTATACTATAAGTAGCTTCAAAAATTGTACTTTTACATTTCTACTTGAAAAGCGTAATTGTAGAAAAATGCTTTTTTAATCAGATAGTATATTAAACAATCTGTCATTTATATTAGTATATTAAAAAATCTTTCATTTTTTGCATTACTTTTACTTTTATACTATCAGTAGCTTGAAAAATTGTACTTTTAAACCTCTACTTGAGTAAAAAGCTTAATTTGATGCTCTCAGTTCTACCAAAGTGTTTTTAAACAGTAGGATTTATACTTCTACTTGAGCAACAAACATTAATACTTTTGAAACCCGCATGTCATGGAATTCTATCCAAAGAGTTTACATAAGCACCAAGAAATGGCCTAGTTTTATAAAATGGTTTTTTTAATATTATTTTTGCATAATGGCATACACACACTTTTACAATGAGTTAGATATAAAGTAGATTAAAACGATAAAACACAGTACAATGATGAAACTGGAACATTTGATACTCTGTGTTCGGTAAACTGTGATTATCATGGCTCTGAGAGCTGGCCTAATTGCTCATTTTATTCACCTGCCTAACTCTGCCCCTTTTCCAATTACCATTCATCTAATCCACCTGCTCCTGCTTCTTTATATACGGCTCAGTCCCAGTTTTCAGGGCCAGATCATTGAGTTTTACTTTGATGCCATAGTTCGTGTTCTTGTTCTCGGGGGGCAGTGTTGAGAGAGGTGTTGGCCATGGTATGGCGTACGGAAAATATGGCAAACATGATGGCATATGTTGGATAAGTTATGGGTAAGTTTTGTATAAGTTATGAGCACGCTGAAACATGCTGGCACACATCGACATATGGCGAGTACGATGAGAAATTTTGAGCATTGCATGCAGTCACAGGAAGGGATACCAATACTGAGCCGTGAACTGGAGGACTCAGAGTTCAACTAAACTTTATGCATAATAAACATATTTTCATTGTTTCTTTTGATTTTAATTAAGTTTTGTTTTAGATATTGTCATTTTGAGATCTCTATAAATGTAGGTGCGATTAAAAAAGAAAAGTAACAAAATAAAATTTAAATTTAAAACTTAGCCCACAGGTGAGCTGTGACATTTTCAGAAGATGATGACCCTATGTGGTCCTTGAGGGCAGGATACTTTGGTGACCCCTGGTTTAGGGGGACAGCCCACTGGCCAGGTAGGCTGGGTAATCTTACACTCATATTTTTAAGAAACACTGATACAACCTCACACGTAGCTTTACTGATCCATGATAGGGCCAAACACTCTTGTAATTTCATACTTATTTATTATAGGTATAGTGGAGGATTACGGAATGACTATGACCTGGATGACTGAGAACCTTCATCAGCATATAGTGGAGGATGTTCTTTTTCCGGGTGGATCATCAAAATAAGTGGTCCTCCTAATTTTCAATCATTCTGGTGATATGTTTACGTAAGGCCGTTCTATGTGCTCGTAGCCAGTGGTGAGTCTGACATAGTGAAAAAATAGCAAATCTTCTTTTGGAAAGTAAGCTTGTAGGAGCAATACATACAACAAGTTTTAAACAGAGCGTGCACAAGGAGAAATGGGCTTGTGCACGCTCTTGCATGCATTTAATAGGCATTCCCTCTTGGGAGGGGGTATAGGGTTGTGCATGTGCATTTATTTTTTAAGTTGAGAAGGTGGGTCTTTTCAAAAATGTATTGAAAATACTCCACTATACCTTTAATATATTATATATTTATTAATGTTTGAAGTTTTGAAGCTATTCTTTGTGAAGCATGTTGCGAGTTTCATCTGAAAGATGCTAAATAGATACATGTAATTAATCTGACTATGATTTTTAAGCTCCTAACCTTTTTTTTTTATTGTAGGTGGAACAAAAAAAGCCCAGAGGTTTCTTCATTAAGCCCATAGGGTTTGATTTTTAGGATAACATGTTTGCACACTTTACATCTCAAAATAATGAGGTTGTAACCATTTGGTGTAAAACCTTAGAGAGGAAAAAAAGACAAAAAAATCCATTGAGCTTCCTGTAACTTTATTTAAGATGTATTAATTTACATTTTATGTATCAACAGGTTTTCATACCTTCATTTTTTCAGTTCATCTTTATGATACAAATTCTGTTGAGATGATGAAAAAAAAAAGTTTTGTTTAGTTCAGCTGACATACTCCAACTCAGACAATTACTGTAGAGAAATATATGCATCAGCCATAAAGTACTTATATAACATTTAAAAAATTAAGCCTTGAATACGTTATTTTCTATTTTGTTGCATAAAAACAGGTAACTTGCTGACTGAATGGAATAACTATCAAGGTCTACTTATGCAAAAAAAAATAAATCAAAATATTTATTATTTTTTTTAATCATCTATCTTTTACAATAGAAACCATAGAAATATTGTTCACCAATATTCTTTCCTCTTACACATTTTTGGAGTAACAACAAAATGTGACAAAACTACTACTTACTTTACAGGAATAATACAGAAAATAAGACGTTAACTATGTAGATGAAGACAAATTTGTCTTTAGCACCATCTGCTGTTATTTTTGTCAAGTACAAACCGAATGGAATAATTGTATGAAATTATTGAGTTGAAATAAAGAAGAGCGCAAAAAAAAGTCTATTTTATTTATAAATGTTGTCAAGGTGGCATCTATAGTCACTATTTAAATGAAGAAAGAATTAATTTTAATAATCTTTATATTATATGTAAACATACATGTATATGTATCATCTTTCAGTGTGAAACCAACAAGAACATAGGCCTGCAAAAGACAGTAGGTTTTTTATTTTATTTTATAATATAACAGGTATAGTTTCTTGTCTTTATAAAGGTAATCAGAAATAACAGCCTATTGGACACTAGCGATGTGCAAGTTGGCTTATATTAATAAACAAACAGAACGAAAACAAAATCACTATCAATAATCATTAATAGATTTAAGAGTTGTATTTAAAGAATATGTTTAATGAAACATCAGCGACCTTTTAAAAAAAAAAAAAAAGAGTTCCTCGAAATATAATTTAGGGCAGCAGGAGTCACCAACCTTTTCAAGGCAGAGGGCCACCTCAAGGGTACGGAGTCATAGGAAGAGCTACCAATACTAACCCATCAACTACAAGGGTCAGCGTTCACCTAAACTTGGTGAATTATAAACATATTTCTATTATTTCTTTTAATTTCTAATTTTATTTTAGACATTGTCGTTTTGAAATGATCTATGAATGATTAAAAAAGAAGAGCAGCAGGATAAAATTTCAAACTTAGCCCACTGGTGAGTTGAGTTGACCCTAAGGGTACCCTTTGTGTTCCATTAGAGGCCTCACATTGGCAACCCCTGCTTTTAATGCATCACAGACCACTATAGGGGCATAAAGAAATGCGGTGGCCCAAATTATTTATCAGTCTTGTTAGTAGGGCTATATCTTCCACGATAGAACAATGAAGCTCTCACTTGTTTGTGACAGCACTGGCATGCGACAGTTGAAGATGCGTCTGTTTTCAGCAGAATGATCCGTCTTTTTTTTTTTTTTTAATTAAACTTGCTCACCCTGATCGAGGAAAAGTCCTAAATCATACAAATCTTAAGACTTTTTTTTCCTGTCACTATAACGGTTACTGCTATGATGTCTAAATTGTTGGAAAATATACATTTTCAAAAGTTTCTGTTGAGTAGTTTTTGCTAGAGCGCTATTGTGAGTCTCCTGTTTTCATTTCCTTGCTGCATGTGTCTCATAAAACATTTAGATAGTGACCGCAGATTTAAAATAAATCCGATATAACTTACTTTTGGTTTTCCATTTCACTTCACATTTCAGTAGAAATTAGAAGAAATGCAAAAGTACAAAGGCTGCACAATAATTTCATTTAATGAATCTAGTAGGGACTTAAATAACTACGTTTTTGGTTCACATTTCTGCTTTATTTATAAGGTTAGTAAGAATACCAAAGGGTACGAGGGTATGATTTACTATTCCAGAAAAGCTAAAAAAATGCTAAAGAATGCTAAAAAGAAATGTCTTAGTTGGACAAAGTTTTAATTGTCCATTTTAAAGCTACAGTGTGTAACTTTTACAGGGATATACAGTCAGAAATGTAATATATTATACATAAC